ATTTTGTCATATTTCATTATGGCCATTCGTAACTACTGTAGAAATTATTACTATCTCAAACAGTTTTGGCCGATTGGTATTAAACAGGATGCAAAATTATTGTGGGATTGCGCTACGGGGGTGGGTAGTATTCAAATTTTGCCCGACAAATATTAGGCTTCAATTATTAAAGGTTGAATAAACGTACCTACATATTATTATTTATTATTATACATACCACGTAACCAGTTATGTGTGATTACAAGAATAATTAACATGCCCGAGTTCTGCAATTAACAAGCACAAAGAGTCGTAATCGAATCCAAGTACGCACACGGTGTGTCTTAAATGGAAAACCCAAAGGTGCAGGGGTAGTATATAACATAGTTCCAGTGATATTTATATTATATAATTGTTTTGCATTATTATTATGTTAGTTTTATATTTTTCGTGGGTATACAAGAGTCGAGTTGGTACGTTCGTGACTATTGTATTTTTAAGGTTTCGCCGATTGTCTTTAAAAGGTTTCGGTCGGGTTTGTATTTTTTAACACGTCCGTGCGATAATGATTTGGGATGCCCTTTGAACCGTTTTTTGTCACGTAGTCGTTTGAATTTGCAATGGCTATAAATTAAAACCGACAATATAAATAATATATTATAACGATACTTATTTATTATTTATATAAGTATATTATATAAAGTGATAACAATTTAAATTATTTGAACCATTGCGGTCGACACTAAAAACAATATACATGATGCCCACCACGACGGTGGATGGGTTTTGGGAATAATATCATGTGAAAATAGATTTATATAAAAGCACACCCTCGGGGTTTTCAAAAACGTTTACTCGCATTTGTACACCCATACTACCGAGGGTGTTGAGCTTGATTTATGTTTGTGTATTTCTTTCCATCGATGCCACCCTGGTATTTGAGCATATGTATATATTATGAATAAAATATCTGTGTACGGTAAGTACACACGTGCAAGAGATACCTTAAAGGAAAAGAACGCGTTTGGCGGTGACAATATCAGACGATTTTACACACATAATCGCGTGCACCACACGTGTGGTTGTGGGTTTATGCCGCGTTTACCCCCATTCCCCTCAGATTATAAAATAAATAGCAGAAAAACTACGGATGGAAATAAAAGAAAATGGCTCGGGAAACCGTCTGCGGCGTGTGCGTCAGCTGAGAGAACCGCGTTTTCTATACCGGATGTATCCAATTGTCATTGGAAGCAGAGATACTGCACTTACACAATTCACACATAGTATATTATTATCTATTTAGATACCATATAGCTGCTATATTTCACGATTATCATGCCCAAGTTCTCTAGTGTGTAAGTTTGCGTTTGTGTGTGTGTTTGTAGGTTAGGTTTAATGCACACACATATACCTACTTACGCATAATTTGTCTCAAAACTGTAGAATATCTACCTATATTTTATGATGTAATAAAAACGTTTTGTATGTGCATTAAAGGTTTTATTTTTCAGTTGAATTGATTTTTTATTCAGTCGCGTGGTCTTATCTTATACACTTCAATATTTCGTATAGTACATAATATACAATGATATTTTATTCAGGTTTTTACTCTGTATTCTTTTCAAAGTACATACCATCTCCCGGTTGTACTCATGAATTACCATCGGAGGACTATTGCCATATACGTTCGAATTATTTTGTTCCGTACCGTTTGACGACAAACGTATTCTCCGCCAGTATAATGTTATAGCTGGTATAATGTTTTTCATATGTACGAGATGATGTTTAGTGTTTATTCAACGTCGGAATTATTTGACGCAGAGTAGTGTTTTGAAAAGTGTTGTGGTTTTTTATGCACGCATTTCTTTTTTTAACGACATTATTTGTGTCGAGGATCAGAAACTATACAATTTTTCGCTGTACAATATTCAAACATTTTTACCCAAGTCGTTAAAAAAAATAATAAAAGCGTATTACACTATAACGTCCACGTGTAGATGAGATACATTGTCCATCTTGTGATAAAAAAACAACTGCTCTGAATATATAGAACGCTCATGTTCATATGAGTTTTTACACCACGCAGCACCCTTTGCGTCCCTAAGGACTAAGGTGCCGTTTTATATTTAGTTAACATGATGTCTTGATATTGTATAACATCGAGAATCGATAATAAGCCTTAAAAATGTTAAAATATCAATATAATATGTACAAATATCTCATTTTATAATAACCTTTTTTTTAATCGTCTATATTATTTTATTCGTATATATTTTCTGTATTAGGTAGCACAAACTTTTGCGCGTGCTGTGACTTCACACACGAGCATATATATGGTATATAGATTCGTGTGTTCAGAAACCGTGTTATTAACCATGGCGTTTTATTTTCGTAACCTCCTCACCACCATTCGCCTTCTGCCCTGACCCGGAACTCCATAAGTATATTATTGCAGGGCAAAACTCACGAGTCCGTGACCGATCGACTTACGTGGTTCATTGAAGCTCACTCGCGTAATCAATCAAAAATAAAACATATACGTATATATTGTATAAACTATAGATATAGGTATATTTGTCCATAGAGTTAGGTAGGTACTTATCTTTATATAAATATTATATATTGGGTAAGTCGTGGTTTCAGTAACCGTTTTGTGTTTTCGGCGTGGTGTTTTTTCTTTACTCTGACGTAAAGAAAATGAAAATAATCTACTTGATTTTTTTCATTATTAACAATAATTTCCAAAATACCTGCTCATCTGTTTGATGTTTGTGGTCATTGGAAAGTAGTCCGGCTTATACTTAATTTTCTATCTGGCGGTGTTAGACGAGTTTTTAAAGATATATATATATTTAATATATATTATATTGTAATGGGCGATGTGCGATGAGTGAAATTTTGACACTGTTCATAAATATTTAAAGAACAATGCGACGAGATTACTTTTTTAAAAGTATATTACATATACGCTTGTAATTAAATAAACACTTTGTGCTGTAACAGTTGTGATTTTCGCTCTTCCGTGCGATTAAGTTTTCCATAAATGTAATGTTAGAAATAGTGATGCAAAAAAACAACCCATTATGCAAAAAAAAAACAATTTAAAGGACGACGGGCGTCAACAGACTGCCGATGCCGTCTGTGATGAAATATGTATACACACCACCGGCTCAGTTAGTAGCTGTTATAGATATATGCACGGCATCCCTGCAAAACTCGTACGTGTGTTGTATAACCGTTATAATTAATGATATAGCTTTAATGTTGTTTCACACACCTTTTTATATTTTTTTATTTAGAGCAGGGATTATTATAAGTACTATGTAGGGATCAGAGCGTTTTTGTTTCGGTTTAGATCTCAAACCATATTAAAATATAAATTATACATTGCATATTTTCAGGTTTATTGATCATAATATATACGTATAATTATGCTCAGGGCGCTTATCATTTTTTTTTCCATTAAGTATAATATAAGCACTAGAAAAAAATATTATCTCGGCGGTTCACCCTGTATGATATTATAGTATTATATTAATATACATACTTGTACTTTTCAAAGTACGTTTTTTAATTATTATAGTTGAAAAAAAAATACTTTATGCTTATGGGTGATGTACATAGGCACAGTACTATATAGTGCTATATACAGTACTCGTTCAATTCACCTATGCCTTGTTCTGTAATAATAATATATATGTGAATTTATTTCACTTGACGATGCTTTTCATTAAGCATACGAGTGGTACGTGTGTGTGCAATTATTATTATTATTGTTGGCGATGTTTTATTTTCTTACTCTCTCTCTCTCTCTTTGAAAATAACCTCGAGGATTCTAGTATTGTTTATCTATCGTTATAGTGTACACTGGTCACTAATATTAAGTGGGTACATTTGTTGTCGACCACCGACAAACGGTACATTTTCGTCAAGATATAACATATATGTTTCCTATCGTGTGGATCATAAATACTACTGATCACGTTCGGAGTTATCTTCGTTGAAATCTACCAACATAGCTGATATTGTGATCGCCTTACAAGCTGACAACAGCACGAAGATTGTATCGAGGGTGATTTTTGAATGGGGGTATTGGTTTGGATATGTTAGTTAACGTATGTTAACCTATAAGTAATTCGGCAAATTAACACGTTTCGAAGACGTCGGAGAACTCGTCATTATTATTATTATTTCGACTACCTCGATTATCCATGCTCCGTTGCTCGGTTTGTCTGCTATTATTATATTAAGTAGGTATTATTATTTGTACGAGGTCAAATTTTCACATGTATTTTCAATTTGCACCTATAATAGGTTTATGCATAAGCAGATTACGAACGGAAATCGACTTTTATTGGTTGTTTTTATACGGTCGATACCCGCGAGTGGGGACCTAAGTCCGAAATCCACATATTGATAATACGCCGCGGTTAATGGATTCAACATGGACACGGCGTCGTCGAGTAACGGTGTATTTATAGCGTTAAATCCATATAATAATATAGTATAATGTGCATTATCATACTATGATAATAATACCTATCATATTTACATTTTTTTGTGTACGGTCCACGCGTAAAACGGTTTTTAAAGGGCATGTAAAAATAATGAACGGTAAAAAAAAACCAAAACAAAAACAAAAAGACAAACCCGAATGTAGTGCACGCCGTCGTCGATACAAATAATATAAGCGATATTATATACTTAATATGCGTGTAATGATAATAGTAATAATAATAAACAAATGTATACCATGCGTTCGGTTGGTGCATTAACGTCAGTCAACGGCTCTGCCGGGCGATGTGTGACGTCGCATTTTGTTCTTGACGCGACCACTTTTTTTCTGCGTCCGTCGAATCTCGATTATTAATGGTATGCAATAAGCTATTTATTCATACTTAGTTTTGGACTATGGAATATCGTGTGGTGACCGTCGAGGTTGATTACTCGAGTTGTGTATGGCGTGGGAATTGGAAGAATAAGAAACTAAGCTCTAAAAGAAAACTTAAATTATTTTGCAGTTACCGACGTCGGGAGAAACAGGCACAGAACTGACGGTCCGGGAGCTGGAAGAGATGGCGTGCCGGCAACAGCATCAGATCGAGTCGCAGCGGCAGTTGTTGGCTGCCAAAGAGCAGCGACTCCGCTACCTGAAACAGCACGATGCCAAGCACCATCAGGTGGCGGCGGAGCACGATAGGCTCCGCCGGCTCCGGGATCGGGTCGAGGCTCAGGAACAAAAGCTCCGTAAGCTCCGGGCGCTCAGAGGTCAAGTGGACCAGACTAAACTCAACAACGCCACACTCAGTGAGTACTTATATAAACATAAATATAACTATATTCATTATTATTATTATATACACTGCAGTACTGCACCAGTAATAATACTACGCTGGTGTAATATGCATACGAGTATATGTATACAGTCACTCTTAATCTTTGGCTATTATTATCATATTATATATAGATATAGGTATGTGCAACCCTAAGAGAGTCGTCTTAGACACACCGTATATATATAATGAAAATATGTACGCATTATATGCATATATTGCACATTAAATGTATATAGGTCGCAGCATCTATATGTACAATCGTCTGAGTACTTGTTATTGTCGTGTCATTCTATATACACATATACGAGAGATTATATATATATATATATTATGTATACGTTGAAACACTTAAGTAGGATTTGGGAATTTTCCCCCCATCCTTCCTCTGTAGGAGTTCGTCGTTCACTGCAGTGCACATCCCTAGATTTTTTCTCTTTAATTTTTTACCCTTTTTTAAACACGATGCGAACAACAATACTTCTTCGTTTTTACAGGCACACTGTATAATGTACATACTTAATACTCGTGTAGTTATGTATGTTATAATATGTATGCATAATATTATATTGTATATAGGTACTCGCGATGTTCATAATGTATATATTATATTTATTCAGTGCGTGTGTCCTCTGCGATACGAGTAGGTAATATTATATTATATTATATTTAGGGTTTACCGTAATTTCCTAAGTTGGATTTTTTTTTCGAGACACTTATCGTTTGCAGTGAATTTATCGCCAAAAATACAAATAACTATTTTTCATTTAAAATAAAATATATATCTACCTACATTGAATGCGAAGTCGTTAGAAAAAAAATATCAGAAAAAAGTATGTTATTTGTCAGTTCATATTATTATTATTAAATGGTATAGTTTTTGAGTCAAAAATGACTAACCCTTTTAAATGATCTCTTCTTATCGACAGACCGATCTCACTCGTGTATTCCGTATAACTGTATTTCACGACGTATTGTAATAACATGTCGTTTATTTTGGAAACGTCGTATATAATATACCTACTACACAATTTACTTATACACAATATATGATTACCATAAAAGCCTTTATTCACCGAACAGTGCGGAGCTCAGATAGTGTTGTGTCAGCATCAATCAGGTGCTACAATAATAGTATTGGGTGGTGAAAAGAATGCTTCTAAATACTATTCGACAGCGTTGAATTAAATTCTCCAAAAATCTTCAATTTATTATTTATATATGCAGTATGTACCTATATAAATATTTTTAAATTTAGTTGTTTGAGTTTATAGTTAATATTTTAATAGAACTGTTAAATACGAATATCAAATTTATTATGTGTAGGTAATTGGAAACCAATTTTTATTTAAAACAAAATTTAGGTACAGGTAATCACTTGGATAAATGTTTTGGTAAAAAATATGCCAAAAGCTAATATCGATTGAACAACCTTCCCCCAAAACAATAATTTATAGTTTTCATGATAACAAAAGAAAATAATACTCTCATCGTTACGTTGCAGTGCATAATATTATATTATAATACATGTTATATAATACGAGATTTTATTTGTGTCGCTTTTAAAAACTTTTTTCTCGTTTAATTAAAATAAAACTGACGTTGGTAGGTGCCGGTGTATTAGGAAATTATGTTATTTCTTATTTTTCTCTAAGAGCGTTTATATTTCTAGTAAAATATATCATATTATGATATATATATATATATAATAATATTGCATTGTGTAACGGAGTATAAAATATGTAAGTAGAATATATTTTTTTCTTTAGAAGTGGTCGTGGTTGGTCTTTGATTGAAAAATCGATACACTTCTCAGTTCTCATATATACACACGTACCCACTATTATACAGATAGAAACACACACACACACTCATATATATAATATCGCGGTCCGCGGCCGACGTCGATCTCCTTCATACGACGCCGTTGCTGTAGTGTTTCCTTGACATTTCTATATTACTCGACTGTATAAGAACTATTTATATACGGGAATAATGATGATATCCATCCATGTGGTGGCAGCGTGTGTGAGTGCGTTTTCAGTAAAAGCTTTCGTGTACATTCGTTCCAGTGCGCTGGGAGCATTTAAAACAACATACCGCAAACGATCATTGCCGACGAGCACGATGTTCAAAAACAACGAAAAATAGATAAAATTGTATTTTTTTTGTGAACGCAATTTATTCTCAGAAAAATAACCGGCAGTTAATATTAAACCAACCCCACTAGTTCTACCTATATTATACACATACCGTACAGTTACTGGTTTAATATGATATCAAATCTGTCTAAAATATAAAAAAAGAATAATTAACCTGTTACCACCGTGCATTTTTTAACCTCATCTATGATTGTATGTCACATATCTTAGATTAGGTAGATATATACTCGTCTAATACCTACCCCGAAATATGTTCCTATAAATTATAATATTGTGATATTATTATTTAGATACCAATAAGAATACTCACATTGCAGGTAAACATGTATCATTTGTCAGTTTCTTAATAAATTAATTGTTCACCAGTAAACAACTTTGTTATCGCGTAAAAACAATTTAAATGTAGGATTGACAAACTATAAGTGCCTTTCTAAAATGTATAAGCCCCTCTCCGTATTTAAATTTTACGTGCCGCCATAACGTTTCAATGGGTTGAGTTTGGGCTCTTATTTTTGAATCTATAACATTTTTTGTGGTTTATAGCATGATGTATTGTAATGTGATTGTAATTGTTTAGTGAGTGATATATCCTGCATTGGTCGGAATAAATTATAGAACTCGATTACACTTCGTTCAATATTATAGAGATAAGTGTTTCCAGATGTTGATTTTCCACAATGAAAAACCTCCGTTCTAAAATATTGTTGTTATTACTAAAAATGCCGAAAACCATGGTCCTTGGACTTGTTTAACAGAATTGCGTATATATTATTATCATCGTCTTCTGTTTCTGTGCTATCACTCATCTGTATCGTGTGGGTCATTATTTACATATATAATAATTTTCTTCGATTATATTTTCTTTTGACTTGGAAATAGACTGATCAATATCAATCTAAATAATACATCCTGCGCCACCAATTTTACAAAGATCAAACATACTGACACGAAATCGATATCGATATCTCTACCAAGATTATTCTAGTCAACTATTGTGTTGTGACTTGTTGTTATTTTTTCTGTTTGTACCTACTACTGGATTTTGCAATACTCAGTACCACAGTAACTCCATCATTTCACTAAAGTTCAAACGACTATTGCATTTGTCATTTACCTCAATGTAAGTAAAAATTGATTTCCTCTCCTTATATAAGTGTAATTTGGCAGCCATTTTTGTTTTGACAACAGTTACCTATATAAACGGTTTTAAAAACTCAGTCAACATAATATTATATATAGTTTCAAAAATGCTCAGTGCACACTGAACGCTTGGTAGACGGTAGTACCTTTTTTTGTAGTTTATCACAGAAAAAGCAAGGAGGTACTTCACCCTTTACCTCCTTATTGTTACTCAGCCATATATAGTACCTGTGAGTGTCACACAATCCGTAAATGGAAAATATCTTATTTGTTATAATACGATGCAGTTTATGATATGATTTTTGTAGTTAATACTTTTTAATATTTGTTTGCGTATTTAATGATATGTAATATGCATAAATAATAAATATTTTCTCCTGCAATATATTTTAGGAATTTTTAGCGTACAACAACTTTTCTGTTTTCTGTCGTATATTTTATTAAAATATAATAATTATCTGTATATCCATAGCGCTTCATACTTATTAAATATCACACAATATTGAATCTTATTATGTTTTAAACCTATGGTGATTTATGCAGATTTAAAGTATAAGTTATAACCTATACTATTATAATATTATATTATACAGTTTGATACTCTTCTAACACTCCTTAACTCCTGTATAAGTACACATGTATTCGTATTTTGTTATGTAATTTATTTCTTTGTTCGGAACACAATTAAAATACGGTACATATGTGGTGAGTATGCAACGTAAAAAAATAGAATTTGATTTCTTTTTTTTAATTGGTGAAAATAATACATCCAACCTGAGCAGAAAGTACGTCATATAATACATTATGTGAATTCACTATAACCCATTTGTGATACGTGACTCAAGTATATTATACGTGCGGACGAGGATTTTACTTTAGAGTATGATTTTTTTAATATGGATATTAATTATATAAATATATTTTTAGTATGAACAATATTCTCCTCTCTTAAAATATTATTTTCTGATTTTACGTGACAAGTCAATTAGCTTTATCATGAATATAATCATCGCACTGATTATAAAAGTCGTTGATTCACTAATCACGAACATCTATAGAAATGTGTTTAGGGCTTTAACAACTTGGCACTGCTTAATAACTATAGAGGGTAAATAACTATAAATATAATTTGCAGAATTCCAAAGATTTCTAATGGCTTTCAAAAATTTCAGATATTGTGGAGTATCTTCTGATTATAAATGTATAACTGCAGATATTTTATTCAAATCAAGATAAAGTTTTCTTTTGAAAATACGTATATCGACAACGATATATTTTATTTTTGATATGTTTATTATTTTTTCATATATATTATTATTTTTTTTATCAATAATAGTTCTCCGGTTGATGTGTAACACCATTATTCCTAACATGCTATGATATATTATTATTAAACAGTAATTAAATATTTGTATAACAATAACTGCGAGTCTCCGTTCGCACATCAGTTATGGTATAAATAATATATTATAAATAATAATATTATCTAATGGGATAGGCTTATGTAATATATAATATATATATATATATAAATATAGAGGTGTGGAGTAAATAAATTAATGTTTTATTACATTTTTTCACAAACATAAAATGCCATGAGAAAAACGTCCATTCACCGTAATATAATATAACCGTAAAGTAGATGTTTCAGAATTATACATATATTTTTCAT